CGGAGCGCTAGTGTAGCGCCTATTAAAGTTAGTTCGAACTAACGTCTGTTAGTTCGAACTAACTTTGTAGTGTAGACATACCCTGAGGGAGTAAATCTGCAATGATCTCCACATGCTGTTCTCTATAGGTGTGTCTATATAGCACCCTAAACTCGAAATTGGATAAGCAATTTGCGCTATACAATGTGCGTATCTTATTTTGATTGTATTTCATAATAGCTTTGGCTACAGAATGCCAGATTTCAAAATAACACACTATTTCAACACATCCCTTAACTCTCATGGAACAAGGGATATAGGGATGCTGAAATAGTGTGCCCGCCATTTCAAAATAATGGGAGCTCAGAAGCGGGGGAACACGCCGCTGCTGCGGGTTTGCTCCCGGTGCCCTTGGTCTGCTGGGGACGGTCCCCAGCAGACCAGGGGCACCCCGGAGGTCGAGGTGGCTGACCGCTGCCAGTGAGCTCCGGGGCGAGAAAACCCCGTTCGTAAGTGCGGATCCGACATAAGTCGGGGACTGCCTGTAGGCTCTTCTGAGCATGTCTGTTGCACCAGTTCTTCTACTAATAAACTTCTTGAATTTTAACCTTGGGTATCGAATTACATTTTGAAGTTGACCTCAGCATTTTGACTAAAGTTCATGGAGGAAAGGTGACAGCTGACTCCACCATCCATGGAGGAGTTGGAAAGGCACTTAGACGGATTTCTCCATACATAGATCTGAAATGATTTTGTAAGAACTTCCCCAGATATGCAGAATCAATCTTAATTTGACTATTTTAGAATATGGTCCTTCCTCCAGAAAAGAAATGGGGTCTAAGTCTGTAATCTCTGTTTCTAAATGCACAGAATACTCACAGGTAATCTGAGCATGTATAGACAAGAGCATTCAGCTGAGATCTGCTATGTAGATGTAATAGAATTTTACCCTAAGTAGAAGTTTGCTGTAGAGATCTTCATTATAGGAAAACATTGCAAGAAAAAAAAAGTTTTCCTGACATTTCTAGAAAGAAATACTCAAGAGAAGCATTGCTCTGAGGCAATATTTTCTGAGGATGATATATTGCTTTTGCTCCAGAGGAGGAAGGTTTTGTCTAAAAAAATCTTTTTTGGGAGGGGGGGGAGAGAACTAAGGGGTGAAAAATAGAGCAAAACATTTTGCAAATGTGTGTCAGTTCTACCATATAGTCTGTGTCAAAACAAAACTTTTTTTTTAATTCAAAATATTTTTGTTTTTCCTATTTGAAATGACTTATTTTGAAATTTCCTTCTATTTTATTAAAAGACAAAATAAAATCTTTAAAAAGCCTCTCAAAATTTAAATGAAATGGTTCATTTGACCCAAAACAATTGTTTCTGCCTTTTTTATTTGCCAGCATTTTAAAAACGTTTTATGTTGACCAAAAGTGATTCTTATTTTTAGAACTGCCAGTGACCCAAAAATCTATTTATTCATACAGCTCCACTTGCACCTTTCAGAATGACAGTATGAACACACCTGCTTATTTCTGCATTTAAGAAAGAAGTGCTGCTCAAAAACTTAAGGCTGAGTCTGATCATTATATCAAGGAATATAAAATCCAAGTTCATTACCTGTTTCCATTTTGCCATCCTGTGCTGCAGGCCCATCAGGAATTACACTCTTCACTTGTAGAAACTCATCTGGCTCATCCCCACCAATGATGGTAAATCCAAAGCCCATGTTGCTCTTCTTGAGAGTTGTGCTGAGAAAAATTCCCTTCAGTTGTGATGCATCACGGGTGAAGAGTGGTTTTTCTACATCAGTCAATACAAACAAAAAGAAAAGAGTTCCAGTCAAGTAATAATATAACATGAATATGAACTCAAAAATAAAAACAGAAGAAGCAGCAGCAATAGTAGGTGGCAGTGTGGCATTTTAAAATTAAAGGAAATAAAGAGTGTAAGCATTCCAGGAGAAATAAACACATTAGTGAGTCCTCATGTTATATAAATATATAACTAACTAAGGAGGATTTTTCTATATATAGCAGTTCAATCTTGGAGAGTGGAAGGGCTAGAAATGCTCTTTGGTACTGAAAATAAGTTTAGAGATAATTGTTATGTAGCTAAAATATTTACATGATGATAAAACAATATGCAAGGTAATTCTGAACTCAAAATTACTCCTAACGTATTGATTCAGCTTTATATATCATATAATTTACTCTGTATATTACTCCCAATAACAAAAAATATCCATTGTTTGTTTTATATCAGTGATTCAAAGACCAAGGGATAAATTCCAGATAAACTTTTTATCCCACACAAATGGAAGTTCAGCTACTGACAAATGGCATTTACAATTGGGGTGACTGTCCAGTGACCTTTATATCTATTTTTGAATGTGCGTCAGTGTAAAGTGTGAAAATTACCATCAGGCAAGAATAAGTCTCACCTGGCTTCCAGTGCCTCTCTTCTGTGCTTTATTTTGTGAAAAGATGTATGGAAAAAGGTGAAAAGCTTTGTGACTTAACTTATCTCAGTACTTTTACAACAGTGCAGCTTGGCTAACAAGCAGCACTTGGACGTACCATACAGACTGTACATTCCAGCATTGTCCCGCCGACACTGAGACAGGTCATTCACACTGCGAGACCGCTGAGGAGCAGGATGCGGGTGAACGTGTTTAGGCCTAGGTAATGTTGATGAGGCGCTTTCTACTGTTACAAAGGAGAACAAGCCTCATTCTTTGGCCTATAACCTTATGTCAAAAGTTACTCATCCATCAATATTGACTTTTGCTAACACATTTCTTTCTAAGCGCAATCATTTTCACATTATTAAGATTCAGTGTTCTTGAAAATTCCGATAGCGTAGTGTTTGAGGCTTCAGATTAAACGTTATTTGCTATATATGTTATCTTAGAAACATACTGAATACCAAGTAATGCTAAATCACAGACGATTCCAGTTGCCAATCTCAAGTTATTTTTAAAGAATGCTTCATTTGGGGTAGTTTTTCCTTTCTTTCCCTGAGCCTTTAGGAAATATTCAGAGCACGTTTTCCCCATTTTTCTGTGCAACCACAAGAGAAAAAAGATTGAAAGGTCAGAGTCTCAGAGTTCAATAAGGCCGTTCGAGGTGCCGGGTCTGCTGGCTGGGTGCTGGCAGGCTTGCACCTGGCATGGGCACCGTAGCCAGCCCATGCCCCTTTAAGGGGTCCAGGGCCGGGAGGGGGGCATAGAGTTTCCCTGGTGTTGGCCAGAGTGGCCACCAGGGAAACCTGGGGAGGGCTAGCCTTCCACTAGTTCGAATTAAGGGTCTACACAGCCCTTAATTCGACCTAGCTAGTTCGAACTAGGCTTAATCCTCGTAAAATGAGGTTTACCTAGTGTGAACTAAGCGCTCCGCTAGTTCGAATTAAATTCGAACTAGCGGAGCGCTAGTGTAGCGCCTATTAAAGTTAGTTCGAACTAACGTCTGTTAGTTCGAACTAACTTTGTAGTGTAGACATACCCTGAGGGAGTAAATCTGCAATGATCTCCACATGCTGTTCTCTATAGGTGTGTCTATATAGCACCCTAAACTCGAAATTGGATAAGCAATTTGCGCTATACAATGTGCGTATCTTATTTTGATTGTATTTCATAATAGCTTTGGCTACAGAATGCCAGATTTCAAAATAACACACTATTTCAACACATCCCTTAACTCTCATGGAACAAGGGATATAGGGATGCTGAAATAGTGTGCCCGCCATTTCAAAATAATGGGAGTGTTTAAAAGACACAGGGTAGCTATTTTGGGATCCCAGAGGTATCCTGAAATAGTCCCGCTGTCTAGACATACTGTATGAGTGTGTTCCTGAGGTTTTTCCCTACCATAGATTAGGCTACCTCTATAACTCTGAATTCAGTTAGAGGGCACTGCAAAGATAATATAGCCCCAGATTTTGTTATCTCTTCTCTAAAAATCTGTCAGGATGGAGGGAGAATGATGTGTATCTCCTCAGTCTGCTTGACCAGTCTTCACCACCCTCTCCCCACCTCAACATAGATTCTGACCTAGGAAACACCTTGTGCAGAGCATGGAGGAAAGGTGACAGCTGACTCCACCATCCATGGAGGAGTTGGAAAGGCACTTAGACGGATTTCTCCATACATAGATCTGAAATGATTTTGTAAGAACTTCCCCAGATATGCAGAATCAATCTTAATTTGACTATTTTAGAATATGGTCCTTCCTCCAGAAAAGAAATGGGGTCTAAGTCTGTAATCTCTGTTTCTAAATGCACAGAATACTCACAGGTAATCTGAGCATGTATAGACAAGAGCATTCAGCTGAGATCTGCTATGTAGATGTAATAGAATTTTACCCTAAGTAGAAGTTTGCTGTAGAGATCTTCATTATAGGAAAACATTGCAAGAAAAAAAAAGTTTTCCTGACATTTCTAGAAAGAAATACTCAAGAGAAGCATTGCTCTGAGGCAATATTTTCTGAGGATGATATATTGCTTTTGCTCCAGAGGAGGAAGGTTTTGTCTAAAAAAATCTTTTTTGGGAGGGGGGGGAGAGAACTAAGGGGTGAAAAATAGAGCAAAACATTTTGCAAATGTGTGTCAGTTCTACCATATAGTCTGTGTCAAAACAAAACTTTTTTTTTAATTCAAAATATTTTTGTTTTTCCTATTTGAAATGACTTATTTTGAAATTTCCTTCTATTTTATTAAAAGACAAAATAAAATCTTTAAAAAGCCTCTCAAAATTTAAATGAAATGGTTCATTTGACCCAAAACAATTGTTTCTGCCTTTTTTATTTGCCAGCATTTTAAAAACGTTTTATGTTGACCAAAAGTGATTCTTATTTTTAGAACTGCCAGTGACCCAAAAATCTATTTATTCATACAGCTCCACTTGCACCTTTCAGAATGACAGTATGAACACACCTGCTTATTTCTGCATTTAAGAAAGAAGTGCTGCTCAAAAACTTAAGGCTGAGTCTGATCATTATATCAAGGAATATAAAATCCAAGTTCATTACCTGTTTCCATTTTGCCATCCTGTGCTGCAGGCCCATCAGGAATTACACTCTTCACTTGTAGAAACTCATCTGGCTCATCCCCACCAATGATGGTAAATCCAAAGCCCATGTTGCTCTTCTTGAGAGTTGTGCTGAGAAAAATTCCCTTCAGTTGTGATGCATCACGGGTGAAGAGTGGTTTTTCTACATCAGTCAATACAAACAAAAAGAAAAGAGTTCCAGTCAAGTAATAATATAACATGAATATGAACTCAAAAATAAAAACAGAAGAAGCAGCAGCAATAGTAGGTGGCAGTGTGGCATTTTAAAATTAAAGGAAATAAAGAGTGTAAGCATTCCAGGAGAAATAAACACATTAGTGAGTCCTCATGTTATATAAATATATAACTAACTAAGGAGGATTTTTCTATATATAGCAGTTCAATCTTGGAGAGTGGAAGGGCTAGAAATGCTCTTTGGTACTGAAAATAAGTTTAGAGATAATTGTTATGTAGCTAAAATATTTACATGATGATAAAACAATATGCAAGGTAATTCTGAACTCAAAATTACTCCTAACCTATTGATTCAGCTTTATATATCATATAATTTACTCTGTATATTACTCCCAATAACAAAAAATATCCATTGTTTGTTTTATATCAGTGATTCAAAGACCAAGGGATAAATTCCAGATAAACTTTTTATCCCACACAAATGGAAGTTCAGCTACTGACAAATGGCATTTACAATTGGGGTGACTGTCCAGTGACCTTTATATCTATTTTTGAATGTGCGTCAGTGTAAAGTGTGAAAATTACCATCAGGCAAGAATAAGTCTCACCTGGCTTCCAGTGCCTCTCTTCTGTGCTTTATTTTGTGAAAAGATGTATGGAAAAAGGTGAAAAGCTTTGTGACTTAACTTATCTCAGTACTTTTACAACAGTGCAGCTTGGCTAACAAGCAGCACTTGGACGTACCATACAGACTGTACATTCCAGCATTGTCCCGCCGACACTGAGACAGGTCATTCACACTGCGAGACCGCTGAGGAGCAGGATGCGGGTGAACGTGTTTAGGCCTAGGTAATGTTGATGAGGCGCTTTCTACTGTTACAAAGGAGAACAAGCCTCATTCTTTGGCCTATAACCTTATGTCAAAAGTTACTCATCCATCAATATTGACTTTTGCTAACACATTTCTTTCTAAGCGCAATCATTTTCACATTATTAAGATTCAGTGTTCTTGAAAATTCCGATAGCGTAGTGTTTGAGGCTTCAGATTAAACGTTATTTGCTATATATGTTATCTTAGAAACATACTGAATACCAAGTAATGCTAAATCACAGACGATTCCAGTTGCCAATCTCAAGTTATTTTTAAAGAATGCTTCATTTGGGGTAGTTTTTCCTTTCTTTCCCTGAGCCTTTAGGAAATATTCAGAGCACGTTTTCCCCATTTTTCTGTGCAACCACAAGAGAAAAAAGATTGAAAGGTCAGAGTCTCAGAGTTCAATAAGCTGAGGGTTTAAGAAAAAAAAAAGGACAAAATGTGCTTTAATAATTTAGTGAGTATTGGCAACACTACTATTTTAACTGGACTATGCTAAATCACCATTATAAAAACAGGAAAGTATAGCAAATATTTTCTTTCTTATATCTGACATGCTACTGTACCTCGGAAAGCTTGGGCCTGCATAGGCTTTGTTCCAAGTTCTGCGTTGGGCATGTTATGCTGCTGTAGCTTCCTTTTTGCTTCAAGGACAGGATTTTCAAATTGTGTTCTTCTATTTATGTGGCTGAAAATAATTGGTTATGATTAAAAATTAAGTCAATTTGAGGAAAAAATATTATTTACTTCATTGGACCATCATGAGAATGTGTGGTTAGTGCTAATCAGTGCAAATGAGGCATGCACGATCTAGTTGATAGCACAAATAACTGGGAAGTAGAGATGGTCTTGAATTTTTCAACAAAACATTTTTTCTTTGGAAAACGTCAATTTGTGGATACTGAAACTTTTAATGGGAAAAGGTCAATTTAGACAATTGTTCAATTCAAACATATTTAGAATTTTTTTTTGAAATTATCAAAATGTTCTGTTTCAACATTTTCAAAATTATTTTTTGTAATCATTATAGCACAACAAAGTTAAAGAATAAAAAGGCCAAAAGCAAAACAAAATATTAAAAAAATCTGAAAACAATGTAGCAAATTATCCTAAATTTGAAAAAAGTTTTGTTCTGTGAAAATTTGAGATTCCACCTCTTCCTCTCAATTCATGTGGGAAAATTTTTTCATAAACTTGAAAATTTTCTGAGATTGGAAAAACTGTTTCTTTCCAAGATCCATTTGGATGTTCTCTGTCCTTTCAATTTGCTGCACTCTGCTACACATGTCAAGTTTCAAACTATGTGGCTATTCTGCAGTATCACTGAAAAACACTTTATCAGAACACTTAACTACATGTGATTTCTATGCATGATTCCAAGATAGAAACAGGATGGTGTTATGAGCAGAGTGGTCCTGGATAAGCTGAAAACAAAATTAGTTGTTTATAACAAAATAGAAACCTCAACCGAAAAGATGACTGTATAGACAAATTGCTTATCAAAGTGACAAATCCATTATGTGCTGGATTTCCACAATAGAAAACAAAATTATACTAGGGATGAAATTTTAACCCTTTACTATATTTGTTACATTTTATTTAAAAAAATGGGAAAATGCAAAAAATACTTCATGTCTTGTGAGAGCACTAAACACACACACACACACACACACACACACACACACACACACAAAACCCTCATTGTAATGCCAGAACTTTCTCTCAATATGTAATATTTACAATGGCATATTAGCATATGTTCTTCTTTCATACTGTACGTTTGATAACCTGCATCTCATACATAACTTTCTCCTGTATATTAAGTTGCTGAGTGTTTCATCAGGAGGATAAATTTTTTCACTGACAAGGAAACAATTCCAGAAGGGGGCGGTCATCTTCTGTATCATGTTGCATGCCTTTCCTGATGTAGACAGAGGGTTTGAGGGCATTCAGGATCATGCAGTACTGGGCATATGAAGTTTTTGATGTGCTGTAAATTACTATTGCTCCAGACAGGTAAATATTTCTGCACAGAGGGATAGCTATTCAAAGCAGCTCAGCTCTTATATGTTCTCATAGCCCTGGTCTACACCAGGGAGTTATTTCAGAATAACGCCCCTTATTTCAAAATAACAAGCAGAGCAACCACGCTACCAAAGCCTGTTATTTAAATAATGGGCTGGTTATTTCAAAATCTGTGCTCCTGTTTTCCTCAGGGAATCTCTCTTATTTTGAAATTGTTATTTCAAAATAGCATTAGTGTGGACAATCCAGTGCTGCTAATTAGAAATAATTGGCCTCCAGAGGCCTCTCACAGCTGCACTTGTGGCCACTCTGGTAACACCTGCCAGCTCCACTGCTCCCCTTCTCCTGAAGAGCTTAAAGCAGCAGACTGCAGGAAAAGGGCTTGTGGCATGTGCAGGCCTTTCCAAAACCCATGCCTCACAGCATCATCTCAGGAGCCATGGCAGACCCCAGTGCTTCCTCTGAGCCCCCCATGGCTGCCAGCACTGCTGCAGCATCCTCTGCTGCCACTAGACAGGGATTCTTAAGAGCACCAGCCTGGACTGGTGAGGAGATCCTGGATCTCATTGTGGTCTGAGGCAAGGAGACCAAGCTCTAGGAGATCAACACCAGGAAGAGAAACAACAGTGCTTAAGTCTGTATGGCCACCAGCCTGGCCAAAAAAGGACACGCCCGGACCCTTGACCAGGTTCAGATGAAAATAAGAGCTCTGGCAGGCCAGAGAGAAAAAGTTTTTTTAATTGTTTTATTAAAGAAAACAATTACTAGAGAACCTGGGTTTTTTTAAAGAAAGTGTGTCTGATAGGTACTTATTGTAAACTGTGCAACATTTCCTTATCTTTTCTAAGTGGTTAGGTTAGCTGTCCTATTAAGGAGACTGTGCTGTAGTTAATCAACCATAAATGTAGAGAGATTCTTTTTGCGATTAGAAAGCTAAAATGGTCAGCACAGAATTCTGTGTAGGGCTCTGGAAGGAAGAAGGCTGGATGCCAGTGTTTAGTCTTTAAGCAACAGGTACTGTTAGAATGTTGTACAAAAGTTCACCCAAGTAGAAAGTAGAAAGTTGCACCTACTACAGTTAGTGCAAATGTCCATACCCTGCAGATAAGAGTTTAGATCTGCAATAGCAAGGTGAATTAAGAACATATACATCCATTGATCTGTAGTTATGTATAATTGAGAGGAGAAGCAGGATCTAGGCCCTCACTCTCTAGAGAAAATTGCAAGGCATTTTGCGCTTAACAGAGCGCTAAGAATCCAAATACTTCTTATGGGTGACCACTGAAAGGTGCTACACTGAATCTAATTATTTTGGTGGTTTATACACACAAACTGCCCCTCTTGATTTTAGAGAGATACAGGTTCATAACCTAACTTTTCATGATGTATCTATTTTATGACATAATTAAGAGAGTTGATTGTAATGTGATTTCATCTGGTTAAAAATGAAGTCATCTGTTAAATACTACTATAAAGAAAGATGTAACACTGTCACTTTGTATAATGAAAAATGTAAAACAATTTTCACTCCAAAATTTTTGAGTTTAGTAGATTAAAATACAGCTCCTTATATTCACTACAAAAGCCTGTATAGAAGTAATGCTGTCTCACTTTTAATGCCTGCCTATGAACATCCATTCTTCTATTCCGGGTCTCTGCTAGATCTCATTAAAGCTTTTCTATTACAATAAGTACAATACGACTTTAATGCACACTTTCCCTCACTTATATTTTGTCTGTTGGATGAGTGAATTTGGCAGAAGCCTAGAAACATAACTGCATTGCAGTATTTGGGGCCAGGAGCCTGTGGCTGCCTGATTGAGGGTGGGCTTAAAATGCAGACAACTGCATGCTCCATTTTAGTTCCACTGACTATGTAGTGGAACTGCATACACCAGGCCTGGCAAAATACGGTCTGCAGGCCAGATCTGGTCTACCAAGCCACCAAATCTGGCCCACGGATGCTATGGGGAGGTCCAGGCAGGCTCCTTGCTTGCTTCGCCCCACCCGCACACTGCTCAGAAACACGGCTGTGGGGGCGTTTTTTCCTTTAAAAACTGTGAATCTGGAGGAAAGGAGGGAAGTGTTAGGAGCTGCTCCCACCTCCAGCACAATCCCATTGGCCAGTTTCTGGTACGAAACTGTCCAATGAGAGCTGCCTGTTTCAGTAACAGGCAGCCATGAAGCACAAGAGGCCCCAGAGCACATGGCTGCAGCTTGTGCCGGGGCGGGGCAGGCAGGGAGGCTGATTCAGGAACGGCTGCTGGCTGGTAATTCTGGCAGAGCCTATCTCTGGCACCCCAGTCACTTCCTTCCCCAACCCTCTGCCCCCCACGCCACATAGCCAAATCCTCTGGCCCTCCCCCGTACCAATATCACCTCCCAGATACGGCATCCCCGTACCAATACCTGCCCCAGATCATAGTCCCCTCCTGCCCTAGCTCACAACCCAAATACCTGCACCCCCTCCTGTACCCCAATTCCCTGCCCTAGGTCACAATCCAACCCCCTCCACCTCAGTCTAGTGCCCCAGGTCACAACTGCCTCTTTCACCCAAACAACCCAGGAAACTACAGACTGGTCAGTTTAACATCTGTCCCAGGGAAGATAATGGAGCAGGTAATTAAGGAAATCATATGCAAACACTTGGAAGGTAATAAAGTGATAGGGAATAGCCAGCATGGGTTTGTGAAGAACAAGTCATGCCAAACTAATCTGATAGCTTTCTTTGATAAGATAACGAGCCTTGTGGATAAGGGAGAAGCGGTGGATGTCATATACCTAGACTTTAGTAAGGCATTTGATACGGTCTCGCATGATATTCTTATTGATAAACTAGGCAAATATAACTTAGATAGGGCCACAATAAGATGGGTGCATAATTGGCTGGATAACCATAGTCAGAGAGTTGTTGTTAACCTCTAAAAATTTGAAATGTAGGTCAGACCCCTTTGGAAATCTTAGATGTACTCTGTGGACCCCCATGTTGTCCACAGATCACAGTTGAAAAATCACTGTTCTATGGCAACAATGACCTTTTACAGACCCTCATGGACATAGTCTGTGGACGACATGGGTCCACAGGCCTGAAATTGAAAAACACTGGCCTGCACCATTAATGACCCAAGGGAGCCTTATTCTTGAACCTCATTGAAATTTCTTTACATAGTTAAAGAATCTATACTATAAATATTACTGCATCAGAAATAATTTCTGGTAAGTCTTTAAAGTCATTGAGCCAAATTGACTTTAGATACTTGCACACAGCACACTGAATTCAGTGAGAGTTGTACTTGTTAATGTGAAAGCAGGATTTGGACTTTCCTCTTGCGGTATCTATGAGACAATGTATGTGTGCCTGTATCTATAGTGTAGACGCTAAATTCCTTGTATCTTTGTAAAGTAGCCACACTATAAAGCCCTGTATAGACAAAGTGAAAACTGTAGTAGGATACTATGAAGCAACTCCAGGTCCCTTCCAGTCCTATGATTCTATGATAAGGAGGAAGGAGAAAATTTGTTCCTCTTGGTTTCTGAGGACAGGACATGGAGTAATGGGCTTAAAGTGCAGCAGGGGAGGTTTAGATTGGACATTAGGAAAAAATTCCTAACTGTCAGGGTGGTCAAATATTGGAATAAATTGCCAAGGGAGGTGGTGGAATC